TACTACGTACTGGCTAATGGTAGAAGGGATGGGTCAACTGCTCGGAAGTGTTCATAAAGGGATCCTCCTGGTTAGAAAGTGGATGGTTTTTCAATAGCCATTTTGAACCATGAAGTGATGTTGGGAATGGAAAACATATAAACCAGAGGGACAAGATAGGATTAGTCTGGCACTGTCCTAACATCCTGAATCACCTTTCCCTACGCTGTCCTTTGTGACAGCAAGAAGATTCTGTTCTTATTTGAACCACTGTACTCTGTGGTATCATTCACTCCCATCTGAACCTAAGCCTACTGATACTAATAATTAGGGAAACCCAGTCTTGGATTCAAAATAATTGTGGTCTGGATAATTCAAGCTGTATAATCTACGTACTGATACCAACTGTGGACCATACTGTATTAGGTCATTAATACTGATGAGGGAGCAAAAGTCAAGCTGAGGACAAAGCAAAGCTAACACCCCCATATCATCCCCCTCCATGTTGCAATATGTGTGCACCTATCTTAATGATTTACAAGAAAAAAGCAATCTCCAGAAACCTATAGACTCAATTTCCTGGATCCTTAGTATCTTCCCTCCATACGATAGAATGTCTTGTATGATCAGTCACTCTTCACAGCTCTAGTACAGCTCTTTCTGCTCACGGTCCTGTCCCTGTGCTTTAATAAAATCACCTTTTTATACCAAAGACATCTCAAGGATTTTTTTTTTGGCCGTAGGCTCTGAACCCCAATATTCCAAACCACATCAGTATTAATACAATAAGGTAGATTCCAGAGACCTTCCATTCAGATAAGATAAACATCTAGGTTTTGATTCTTAAACTTTCCACCTAACTGAGGTACTTGATTCAAGAGTCTGTGAGACCTTCTCTTTCTCTCCTAGGAACCAGAGCCAGAGACATTTTGACATCAGGCCAGGCCTTCTCTCCTCTGCTGTGTAAAGAAGCTACTGCATTAGTTGACCTTCATGGGAATGTGACAATAGTAACTATGTGTCACATGACTCTTTCATCCCTTCTGCTTCAATCACATTCCAGACTGGGCACAATGCTATGTGGATTCCATGCTATGTGGCTGAGTGAGAAAAGGTTAGGAGAACAAGGTCTGTATATTACGCAGAGGTGAAATGGCGATTGTACCCGGTTATCCAAATCTTCACCATTTGGCTCAACAGAGTTTTGTCCCACTGCTAAGCCTTCAGGCAGGCTATTTCTCAAAAGTAGACTTATATGACAAAATAATTTTTCCTCCCTGGCACTGAGTCTTGTGCTATTTATTGTCTGAAATCAGGTTGATTCTGCCCATTCTTCCGCACCCTATAATTTGCTCAAACTGGTGAGTGCCTGAAACTGTAATAAAAGTTTCAAGAGTTCCTCTTAACCGAAGGTACAACTTCTCTCGAATCTTTGTTATAATGCAAATATGTGACCTGAAAAGATAGCTGCTTCACCTATTACTCCACTGACGTGACCAGTGGAGTAATCTACCAGATTAGCTAGCTAAAGTCTAAGAGAGAACAAGGGATAAGGAAATGAAATGTCCCGGGAAAATGGAAATAAACTGGTGAATGGTCTGACAAGTGAGTCAAAAGGGATCTTTATTGAGTACCTATTATCCTCCTACATAATATATTAGCTGCTGGCTAAGGTCAGTTTGGGGAAGAATGGATAAAGGAATGGAAAAGAAAGATCACTTGGAGGAAATTCCTGAGGTGGGTAGGAGACTACTAAACTCCACAGAGCTACCCAAAGAAATCCAGATACTTGTGGGCAACCCATGCCCTTTGCCATCTCTCCTCTGGTCATAGGAGCCAGAAGGGTTCCTTTGGAAGAGACAAAAGAGGACAAGCAGCTAACAGGGGAGCATAAACAAGTTTCATGTAGCCTGAGCACTGGGACATTTGCTCATTGGGCTACTGGACAGCTTGTTCTTTGTGACTCTTTTAAATTTGGAGAAAATAATACATATCCTTCATTTCACCAGAGCCTACCATGAATCCTTGTTTTCTTGGATATCATTCAATTCTGCTTGGCTTCTTCCTTAAATTCCTCAAAAGACATTTCCTCCTCTTTAGAGGAATTTCCAGATTCTTCCCCTCCGCTTAGAGGATTAGTTTTGCTATCACTGGCCGGTGTTCTTAATATGAAACAATGTTTTTTGAATTCCTACTGATCATTTAATCCCCTTAGATAATTAATATAATACATAGGATGAACCTATTACAGTTAAATAGCAGGAAAGAACAATTAGAAATATGGCCTTTGTGATCATTTGTGTTAGCACTTCTATTAGGCGAGGCTAGTCATTTTCTTGTTTATTAATATGGAACTCTGGCATTTATTAAGGTTCTTTTAAAGAAAAAAAATCTAGTGGTATTATTTTCGTTAATTTACGAATCTTGAATTTCAATACAGAGCAGGCTCAGTTAACACTACCTTATACTATAATCAACTTCTAACATTTTTATTAAACTAACAAGACTATCCCTAAATGCAGAAATGGAAATATGCAGATGCACAAGTTTTCTGATTACTCTTCTTTGTCAATGACATTAGCTGATATTTGGTTAGAAGGCTAACGTATTTAGATTTGCTCAGTTGCAAAGCATATTCTATGTTTATATAACACTTTGAGGCTTTGTGACAATACTTAGCTTAGACAAAATGAAGAATATTGGGTTTACCAGGGCGCTAAGAATACATTCTCAGTCATTCTTGTGGAATTATGAGAAATAATCACTTGATTTGTCGAGTCTCATTCAGTCTTCAAATGGATGAAGTTTTTAGAAGGTTTGTGGTGATCTTATTGATTAGTTAACTCAGGGAATATTCTCAACCCCATTCTCTCTGCTACCTTATCCAATAAATAGTAGCAACATACTGACTTTCCCAGCATCCTTTGCAGCTAGGATTGGCTTTATGATCTGGTTCTCCTCAATGACATGTAAGATGGAATCTAAGGGGTGGATTGTGATGGAGCATTTACTCTTACTTACACTTTGTGCCTTGAATATAAATGGAATGCTCAGAGTGGTGGAAATCAATTTGCAACCCAACAGGTCTGAGGACAAGAAGCCAGGGCTTTTTATAACATTGTTGAGATGCTACCCATCTTTTATGTTTGCCTTCTTCCAGATTTTTTAATTGTGTAAGATGATCAAATGACTTTATTCCATAAAATGGTTAGTCAGATTTGCTGTTGTTGTTTTATTGGAAGCTGATAGCAGCTTATTGATATAGTTCCCCCCTAGTTTGAGGAGATAAATCTCCATTATGTGAAGATTACGTCAGCTGTCTGTCAGAAACATGGTCCAAATTTACTTCCAGGAGAGTAATCTAAAGCAGCACTTTTCAACAGAGCTTTGTGTGACGATGGAAATGTGCATACATACCACATAGGATATGTAGCCAGTGAGCACTTGAAATGTGTTTAGTGCCACTGAGGAACTGAATTTTTAATATAACATAGTTTTAATGAATTTGAGTTGAACCTGAGATGGAGACATGTGGCGACTAGCTATCAGGTCAAACAAATGCAAATCTAAAAAATCGCTAGTCTATTAAAGCATAGTTAGATTACTGTAGTTCTTTCGAGAAAAAAAAATTCAGCCTCTAATTTTATATGCTATTTTATAGGCCTGAGAACACCTCATTATGGAAAAATGATGATTCAGCGGGGCTTTACACAGTGTCATGTTTGAAGGTTGTTAAACAATATTTAACTTGCATATTAGCTAACTACACAGAACTGATACCAATTTAAGCATTTTACATTGACAGCTATAATAAAAGATGTCTTCTTGGAATAATAATCTGATTCAGACTGTGCTCCTTCAGCTGTTTGTTAAAGTTTATGGATCCTCAATTACAAATGGAAAGAATAATAATGGTGTGCCAGTCTCATTAGGCTGTGGGGGTGCAAGAACTCTCTAAGAGAAACTGTAAACTACAGTTTGTAGAAGACTTCCAGGTACGCTAGAAAACCAGCCACAGATGGTCCCAACATGGCCCAAAGAGTGGTGAGGTGCTCGGGGGTGGCAGCTAAAGGTACAGGGACAGAGGATACTCACCATACCAGAAACCAGAAATCTGAGGGCCTGCCATGCACTAGAAGATGGGATTTGATATCAACTACTACACCCACATGTGATTAGAAGAAATTATTCCATCATGCCTTGGTATATGATATAAAACTAAATAATTGGCATGCTTGCTTTCATAGCTATTTTTAGAGCCTGAGGAAAAATTAATTCTGTCCCTGTCCAAGATGGCCACTATCACCTCTTTATCACCTGACAAGGATCAGTCACAGACAACTACTCCATCACCAGTTACCTCCTGGCTGCTGAGAAGAGGTCAGCAAAAGGTCAGCCAAGTCTTTCTGTGTTGGGAATCTGAGATCCTTCCATCCAGGCCTATGCATGATTTTAAGAAGCAGCTGACAAATCAAACTTATTTCACACACACGGCTACCTATAATCAGGGACCTAACGGAAATGATGAAGAAAATGAGTTGTGAAGTTTCGGCAAGTGATGTACACCGGTATCTATTAGGTTCTCTGTGTAAAACACATTCAATTAAAAAACTATTCCATTTATGAAAGCTACCACCCCACGTTTCTGAACAATAGCAGTCGTGCAGAATGCTTCTCGAGACAATTATAGAAGCTGGATCAATTCAAAGTTGATTTTTTTCCTCAGAGAAATTATTTACACTCATTATTGTTTTCATTTCATACTGACAAGTGCTCACTTCTCATCAGTTTGCAGTGAATTGCTCTGAAAACACATATGTTTTCTTTATGGGCTTTGAACCACTTATTTTATGGGAGCTTCCAATGTCTGAGAAGAGAAAAGGAACCCTGTGTGAGAAGTTAAAACCCAGTGCTCATAGAGCTGAGGCATGAGACATGGTCTGCAGGAACACATTGTGCCTGAAAGAAGGTCGCATTTGAAAAATATTGCCCATGAAGATGTACATGACATGAATGTTTACCTATGATGTGGCTCTGAAATGTGGACTCTGCGACTGTATCTTCATCCTCTTGCAGGTTTCCACTTGCTTCTTTTATCTGCAGCAAGAAGAAAATACTGTAAGTTCTTCTTTATTATATTCAACAGATTGTCTGCAGTCCTCAGAATGGTGGTTCATTCTGTAACAAACGGGGGTATGTGTGAGTCCATGTGTGGATGTATATATATGTATATTTAGATTCTTCACTCCCTTGGCTTTATGACAAGTTTTAATTACAAGAGTGTATTTTCAGAAATATAACGCCAGATCTGAAAATGAGGATTTATAGGGTACCTAAGTCTCCAAAAAATTTTAGAGATAACAACGTTGGCTTTTAATACTTAATAAAGTCAGTAACACAGAGCTGTTAGGAAACATTAAAGTCAAAGAAAATATAATTCCTCCAGAGACCGTGACTTCCACCACAAGTTACTTTAATAAGAAGAAAGAAATATACTTAGATCTCATGACCTTCTCCTGGAATGTAACTCTCTAATAAGATGATTTTTTTTTTGTTCTTTCTATGATGAAACATAAGGTGACTATGATGTATGCTTAGTGGACTACAGCGGTGACATATTTATATTGATTTTTTAGGTCAAAAACATTCCCCTTACATATCAGTTGAAATATCCAGATGCTGAATGGGGCAGCGTTCGGCAGAACTCTAGAGCCCTGAATAAAGTCACAGTGTTTTACAAATGAGAATTCCGAGATCCAGCAAGTTTCCTTAAACATATTGTAGGTGGAAATGCTGGGATTAAAACTCAGCCCCTTCCTTCTCAACCTAGTGACAGCAGAAGCCACAATAATATCATCAATACCAATTATAATTCAAGATTTTTTAAAAGTATATTTATTATGAGGTGGGGGCCAGAGACAGAAGGAGAGAGAGAAAATCCCAAGCAGGCTCTGTACTGTCAGTGTAGAGTCCGATGTGGAGTTCAAACTCACAAACTGTGAGAGCACGAGCATGACCTGGGCAGAAGAGTCAGATATTTAACCGACTGAGCCCCCCAGGTGCCACAGTACCAGCCATAATAATCATAATCATAATCATAATCATAATCATAATCATAATCATAATAAAAAGCAAGCTCTTAAATACTACAGAGCAGGTGCTGTTTGAGCACTTCATGCCTGTGATCTCATAATCCTTAGAACAACGCTAGGTGCTATTGTTAGCCTCCTCTTCCTGAAGAAATAGACAAGTAGTTATGCAAGTGGTGGAACCAGGATTCAAACTCAGCAGAACCGACTCCAGATTTGTGTTCACCGTTGTTCTCAAATGTCCATCTGACTATGCCAGTAGACTTGGCCTCAATAACAAGACAGCTTGTGATCCTTGGCAGAATGACCCTAAAAAGCCCTTTTAAAATAAATCCCCATTGGTCAGCTGTGCGGCCAATGATAATGATGTGAACCGTGCACTGAATGCAGTGGGGTTCTGCTTAGGCACACACATTAGAGGTTGTCAGTGGATTTGCACAGGGGCTTGAGTTGAATGCCAAGAAACTCTTATTTCATACTTGCAATGTTGAAAGTCATATGGTGCACATTGACCGTGAGCTACATTTGGCTTTTATCTATTTTTCATATTTGATGGAATAAGACCAATTATTTATATTTTATGACTGCAGTTCCAGTATCAGAATATAATTGGTACTTATTCTGTATATGCTTATAGCCAGAAGGTGGCAGACTCAAGAGAGTATGTGGATGGCTACTTGAACCCCACAAGGAGAGATGAAGGGTTAAATATCCAGAGGCCATTCTTCCTCACTTTCTTTCCTCATCAGCCGTCTGCTCTGGAGGCATTTCCCGGTTTGTCAGCACGTCCAGGAGAAGAAAGTGAGGGAATGGGGCTGGGTGTGGTGGGGGAAGGCTTCATCAATAATCTATGTTTTTGGTAGTGGACATTTATGCACAGAATAAAAGTGCCATGAAGTGTTACTTATTTGCCCTCCAAGCTTTGCCTAGCTCTGATCTGTTTGTGACAAGGCTATCAAAAGCCCCACTGAAAAGGGGATCCCCAAACACCTTAATTTCCATCAACCCAACATGAACCTTCCATCATCATTTATAGACACATCAAGGAAACCTATTTATATTTTCAGCCCTTACCAGCTCTTGTGACAACATGTTTCATGTTTTCCCTTACCTGTTATGTAAGATAATATTTCCTTTAGGTTTCCCTAAACTGATCTATTTTAAACTTGGAGGGGTGCCCCACTAACCTGCTGGAATGTAGATGAATCATCATCTTTATCAGCCTGCGAGGTTCTAAACTAAAGATTCCAATAATTAAAATAAGAATCTCATCTAGGGTTAGCAATCTCTTCAAGGTTGCAAAGGATTTCCATTTTAGAGGGGCACTCCTGGCCCCTATTCATTGTTCTAATTAAATCTTTCAGAGTGCATCGTACTGTTACGGTTGTCCTTTATAGACCTTCTCATGAACTAGAATATTTTTTAATGTATGGCAGCAAGATATGTAGGCAGTACTCCATGTATATATATGTATATATATGTATTCATGGAGTATATATATATATATATATATATATATATATATAAGCTATACTTTTATTTAAGAGTAGCAAAATTTTTCCGAGTGTATGTGTGTGTGTGCATGCATGTGCATGAGTGTGTGTGTGTGTCTGTGTGTGTGTTTAAGTGTCCTGCTTCCCTTCCCTTCTTGTTCCCTATCCAATCTGTGGATCAAACTTCACCACCACTTTTTTCCAAGTATCATATTCAGGAAAGGAAAAAAAAAAAAGGCAATCCTTTTGCCCTACCTTTTAGCTCTCTGTCAGAACTTTTCTATGGCTTTCTGTGCTTAACAGAAAGTGCTAAACATGGCCTCTGGGTATTTATCAGAGGAACTGAGCTTGTAGACAAGGCCCCTAATTCTTTCAGCTTTCGTAGGCTGAAGACCCAGGAGAGGAAAATCCAAAGGAGATGGGTGAAGAATCAGTGAAGGAGTGGAAAATGAGGGGATGCTTTAGAATGGCATACTTTTTGGTTCTAATTATCTACACAAATAGATTTCAATGTAAAGTGGTGAGTAATTAAAAAAAAAACCCATTTGCCTATGGAAATGAGGGGCATGATTTGTTTTGGCAGCAAATTCCCCTTGCTAATTATATTTTTCATAGGCTGAATGTAAAATGAATTTTCATTCTTGATCACACAGGGTCTGAATATTGGTGAGACATTGTGGGAACTTCCCCGGGGGTCAGGGGCTACCAACTCAAGATTAAGAATCTGCCAAAGATAGGTACAAGTGGGGCGATCTTCATGTGACGAAACACTTCAAAGATAGGAGTGGTCACAAAACCAAGAAGTTTGGCTCAGAAAAGAATAATGATTAGAGATGTAGAATTTTCTCAACCATTGTTCTATCAGGGACAGATACTATTTGGTGAGAAGTAGCAGGTAACTCAAGCAATAACTATGGGCTATTTTTGGTTTAAGTTTGTCGTCAGTATGCTTTTGAATGATGCACCTCCACCTCCTGTCCATCTTTTGGGCTCTGCAATTGTAGTCAAGATTTGTACCAAATACTAATCTCTAACAGGAAACCATTAAGTGTCACTGTGTCCATTACGTTCTACTAACCCTTACCATTAGAAAAGGCAGGGAGGAATGAGTTTACAAAGGACCTATGAGGAAAATGGAGAAAAAAATTTACTGCTCATATATATGTATATATGAATGTATATATGTGTATACACACACACACGCACACACACATTTCAGAATTCTACCTAACATTTAGGGATACCCTTCATTTGGAATTCTGCTTATACGTCTTCTCTGAATTGCTTCCCAAGAAAACAACATTGTACCATTACTGCCCAGGAAAAGAATATAATGAACCTAAGTAAGACAAGAAGTGATCTTTGGAAGGAAAATCTAAAAGGCATTACTTTTAGAAAAGTTAGTCATTTAAAAAAATTTTCAGGAGGAGGGCAAAATATGCATGCTGCTTATTAGCATCAAAATGCATTTAGAACAGAACTGTTCAATTAAGGACGCTGAAATTACAACATTTTGCAGGACTTAATAAGATGATAACAATTTGCGTAATTCTTGTACTATTTTATGCTATTTCATCACCACAGTATCATTTTAATGGGATAGTATTTGGTGCTTTTTTTATTAGCATATGTGATTTTTTCAGACTATGGGACATTGGGTGAAAAGAATACTCATAATTTAAATTAAAATACCCATATTAAAATGGCCATCTCTTTCCAGTGCATGATGAAGGTATATGATCTCGTTAATTTTGTTAACACTTTTTATTTTGTCCAATGATAGTTAAGTAGGAGCCTGGAGCTGTCTTCCCTTGAGACTTCTTATTTCACAAAATTATCTGGATCCATACGAAGGAACGACTTATAACATGCAGCAAGTAGAATCCATTTCTTTTTTTCTTATTTACTTAATACCGATGCAATCTTTCCTGGGGATGCCTTTTCCCATCTTATCATGATTTTATATAATTCAAGTAAAAGTACTAAGTAACATGGCCTTTGTCTAAATTACACAAAAATTAGGGCTAAGTGGTCTGTAAATGATGGTCTGAATGGGGATGTAAGCCTCTAATTAAGGTTCTGAAAGGAGAAAAAGGTTGAATTCAGCAAAGAATTAATGGGACTTTTACACATATTTTAAAATGTATCTAGCAATCTGCAAATGGATATAGATACACAGCTCCCAATGAACTAAGTGTAGGCCTGCTACATACATGAATTTATTACATGTATGAAAATGCTCATGTATCACTATAGATTAAAATACTTAAAATCCCTGAGGACCCTCATAACTAAATATAGTCTTCGTTTGTAAAGGGAGGAGATGGTGGTATACTATAAGATTTTGAACAATGATTTCACTGAAAACAAAATGAAACAACACCCATGTGATATGTAATGTAGCTACTGTTTTCATCCCAAGTGAATAGTATCAGCAAGATTCTCTGGAACACAGTTTAAAATAAGCAAATGGGAAATTTACCTTGAGCTCTGAATTTTAAGAGATTCATGGGTAGCATCAATGTGCTACGGTATTAGAATATATCCTATTTTGCATCTAATTTCCTTCCTGTACAGGCTGATAACATATAATAAATAGGTTTTCACTGCTAGTCTTGTACTAGTCCCAAAGGAGACTATGGCAATGTCCTTTCTGAAATTAGTATTTTTAGTCCATTCCACTTTGATGATTATGGAGATGAAACAAACAAACAAAAAAAAACCACTGCATTTTACATTAAAAAAAAAAAAAAAAGACTAGCTGGTCAACTATGCAGGTTAATAATATTCCTCTGTATGGAAAAGCTTCCCAGCACGCCTAATTTCCTCTTGCAGCTAACTAGAAAAAATTAGCATATCCCTATTGATTATGTATTTGGGGGTGGTTAGGGAATCTTTGTTCTTCACAGAAAATAATAAGAATGTTTTTTGACTATATTCTGGAAGGACCAAAGGACACTTATTACTACCCTGAAATGTAGTAATTCAGTGAAAGACTGATGACCGGAGACAAAAAGCACAGAAATTACTTTAGCATTAGGAAATAACGAGAAAGTACAAATGAACTTGTGAAAGCCACATGGAGGGTCTTTTTTTTTTTTTTTTGGTACTTCTGTGCAGCAAAGATATATACCCTAAGCTGTCAGAACCATATTAAATGGGGCATAGTTAAATTGAGTGCCTCTGATAAGGGGCTCTGCTGGGCTATCAAAGTTTTAGATCAGCTGGATTGAATTCCTGCCATATTGCACGTTTCCACGTTCATTCTCTCTTTCCTTTCAGTGACACTACAAGGGCAGCCTTACATATGCTTATAATTCGTGATTTTACAATGTGGGGAGAGGAAGGGGGAATCTATATTTTCAAAGAAGGGAAGATACTATCCATGGAAGCCCAGAAGAAAAAGGGGAGGGGGCGAGAAGAAGAAGAAAAAAAAAACTTTTGCAAATAACTAGTTTGCAATATGATTTCAGAGCGTTTAGAAAAAACAAAATAAAACACTTTATAGCTCTCCAGAGTCCAAAGCTATTTGAAAGAAAAATGTTCACTTGTGTCAAATCAAAGTATGTGTAAGAAATTCTAAGGGACCCTAGATATCAATAAGTAATTAAGCTAATAATTAATAACTAATAATGAATGCTAATCATGCTTGCCTCTAAATTTTTTTAATGTTTTATTTATTTCTGAGAGAGAGACACACAGCGTGAGCAGGGGAGGGTCAGAGAGAGATGGAGATATAGAATCCGAAGCAGGCGCCAGGCTTTGAGCTAGCTGTCAGCAGAGCCCAACACAGGGCTTGAACCCACGAACCATGAGATCATGACCTGAGCCGAAGTCAGACGCTTTACTGACTGAGCCACCCAGGCGCCCCTCTTGATTGCTTCTAAAACATCCTCTGAAACACTCCAGAAAATAATGTATAATTACTTTACATTTCAGGTTTTCCCTAAGAAAATGGTAAGATGTACCATATTTTGCAATCTCTTTTATTACAGTACAAAAACATATGGATACAGTAATTCTGTAAAAAGAATTTCTTTTTGTTTGTGTGCTTTGAGACTTCTACAAAGGAACAATGAATATCACCAAATCAATTATGCAATAACAGAAAGAATGTAAGGAGAGTAAATGCAATATAAAGTAATTTTAAAACCAAAATATTATTTGAAACTCGCATATCCTGGGGAAATATAAAAATGCCCTTTCATTTTTTAAATGTTTATTTCTTTTTGAGAGAGTGAGCGAGCTCATGTGAGCAGGGGAGGGGAAGAGAGAGAGGGAGAGAGAGAATCCCAAGCAGACTAGACGCTGTCAGTACAGAGCTCAACTCGAGGTTCCATCTCATGAACCATGAGAATCAAGAGTCACTACTTAACGACTGAGCCACCCAGGTCCTTTCATTTTTTAAAAGAAATTACCCCCTGAGTTTTTGCACTTCATAATTAAGAGATTGAATAATAGGGAACCAAGTTCCGAAACAGACTTCTTTGTCTCAACACTTTGTGTCTAGGTGAGAGGAAGCAGTACATACAACTCTCAGAAGAAAAATCAACAGTGCTTAAATGAGCCATCAAAATAGACAGTAATCCCTCCAATTGTTCAGCACTATTATTTTTCTATAATCATGTCCATTCCTTTTTGTGTTGTTGGAAACGATCATCAAAACAAATTGCTGCACAAGAGTCTAATTTGAAGATGACACTGGCCTGTCAGTTGCAGGCACTCTGGTTATACCACCCTGAAAGGGAGCTAAGGCAGCAACGTTCCTGGAAGCAGCTACCCCATTTTGCAATATTGCTCCCACCTCTCTGCTGTCACCAGGTGTCTCTCCTTTTCCTTGAACTCTCTTTCTCCTCCCCTACCCCCGCCCCCCATAATCTCTTGCTCTTACATTTCCATCAGCAGAGGTAGAAAGGACCCAACCAGATTCACTTCATAACCGGGATGGGAGGAGCACTTACCAGGGAGCTTTTCTGCATTTCCACATCGGCTTTGGTTTTGATGTTTTTCTTGTGGTTTCCTTGAGTGCTTGTAGAGCTGCTGGTGAGACAGGAGCCCTGGGAGCTGCCCTTTAACACACTCCTGCAGGAAACATTATTTGATCCACTTTCTGTCTGGTGAGCGGCTTTCTTATCAACTCTGCAGGTAGAAAGTGATTCCTCTGATAAATTACATTGCTCTTCCTCAATCACTACTTTCTCCAATCCTTTAATGCTTAAGGTAACCTCTTTGTATCTCTTTGTCTTTAAACCTTTGAGTGATAAATGTTTGTCGGTGGCCTTGATCAGATCTTCATCTGACATCTCAGGAGTGTGTCAGTTTAGATTTGATCATAATTTATTTATTTATTTTCAACTGGCTTGTGAGATGGGGGAAAGAGGGAGCAAAACAGAAGCCACCGAAGAATGATTGCTAAATACATGTCTGGCTTGAGATCAGCAGGAAATGTAATTACCTCTGGAAGGTTTCTAAGTATACGTGTGCTTGCCTGGCACAACCAATGAGGTCGGCATACCTTAAAACGTATGTATAATTTTCTTCCATTTCATGCCACGTGGGTACAGTCCACGGTCCCAGGGTAGGGTGAGTTTCTATCAACCTTGATACAACTTACCATTCTTTAATTTCAAAGACCATTGGTTTGGTGAACAAAGTAACATGGCTAAATTATCACTTTATTGCTGACTTTTATTTCATTGTTTAAATTCTGGCTAATGTATAAAAGGCTTCTACTGTTCATTTCTGCTTGTTCAAACATGCTTGACTGGCATTTAATGTGGAGGAGGCAAACAACCCTCCCTCTTTTGGGGGGGACCCCTCGACATTGGCACCCTCTTTGCCAAGACATTACCTGTTCAAAAGTTCCGTCATAAATGTATCTTTTGTTGAACATGTGACAGGGCTGGGTCTATTTCTTGGTTCAAACTTCATTTGGTCATAAATGCCTTGGGGAGTTTTCAAATTATTTTTGCTTGGTAAACTAGTGTCTGGGCTTTCTGTCAACATGGTGTTCCTGGGAGGCTCATTTTCTGTCTTACACTGCAGCTCAGGCTTCTTTTTCTCTTTTTTTCTCTCTGATTTTAGCTGTTTGTTTCCAAACCCCAAACCTTTTGCATCCTTCTTTTCCACTTTGGTTTTGGAGACATCCATTTTCCTGCTACTGAGAGCTGGAAGTCGACTTCTCCGAAAACCAAACCAGCTGGCAAAGGAAGGCCCCGGCTTTGGCTTCGCTTCCACAGAGGGAGACTTTGTTTGCACTTGGCCCTTTTCCACATTTTCCTGAATGCACAACATGACCTTTTCTTCAATTGTGGGTGAGAGGGGGGCTTCGGGGCTCACAGCGCCAGTCCTGGTTGTGGAAGTATCTGGACACCTTCCAGAAGTTTCTATCTTGGAGGTCCTGCTTGTTTCAAAGCTGTGTGGACGCTCTGTCCTCCCCGGATTCTGCAGGGCTCGTGGGCAGTCTGTCGGGATGGGTGGGCATCTGTAGTGGTCGCTCTTTGGTTCCTCAGGGACCACCACCGTGGGGCATCCTTCCTCTGTGTAGCTCTGCTCGTCTTCCGTTCCACGTGGGGCGAGGAGCCCTTCAGATTTTGGAGGGACCCTCAAAGGCAACTTGCTTGGGCTCCCATGCTGGCTACTGGGGCTGCTTCCTGCACTCCCTAGGGAGCCTTGCCTGGAGGAGAGATGTCCCACGGGTCTCCCAGCACTGGGGAGACTGTCAGACATGGCGGATGATGGGGTCTTGTTGGGTGAGACCTCCGTGGAGGAGCTCTGTCGGGTGAGGGAGTTGCCTCTCTCTGCAGTGTTGGTAATAATCTGAGTTCGAACTCTGCCTGCTCCTTCCATGGGGGGAGTTGGGGGCTTATCCCCAGAGTGAGCACTGAAACTCTGGGTGCGGGCTTTGGCTCCATTCATGCCTAGAGCTGGTTTTAGGTGTGGCTTACTGGAGGAAAGGGATCTTTTCACAGCCCTGTTTTCTACCACATCTTTTCCATCAACCCCAGGGGTGCTATGATCCAATGGCTCTGGCATTGCCGTTTCCAGGGGAAGCCCTTCAGCCAAACTGTCCTGTGTGTGAACACACAGTGGAGTCACAGTTCTTTCACCCACTGTGGTCTCCAGGCTCACTGGGTTCCCGGCATCCTCTGGCTTAGCCTTGTTCACGGCCACAGAGCTTTTAGAGGCTTCATTCAGACTGTCTTTTTCATGTTTCCCTGGCACCGTGGAGCTTTTCCTGAGCAACTGGGGGGATTTCATGAGAACTCGGAGCCCAACCGGGAGGCGAGTTTTCAGTCCTTTCTCTTGAGCGTTTTGACAACCGTGTGGGGTGTTATGGCTTTTGGAGGATGGTGATGATGAGTGACTGTTACCCTGAGATGACGGTGACTCATTTGCCCCTAACAAGGCAGGCTTGGGTGATGTGGGGACGCAGTCATTCAGTTGCCCTTTTCTTCCTGGAGACACACTTTTGGGGGATGATATTTCCAGTGGCTCAGGGGCTGAAGGACAGTTCTTGGGAATCCGTAACCCTGTGTCTGCTTGTACGATCCCAAGCGTTTGGTGAGGCGGGGTTCTGGGGACACCTCTCTTTGGAGAGACCTTTGGGGGCCCTGGGGCCATCACAGCAAATGAGCTGGTGGGGGTATGAGCAGAACATCTGGTTTGAATCAGTGTTTCTGTGGAGGGCAGAGGGTGAGTGAAGACAGGCTTCTTGAAGGCCACAGAAGGTTTCTTCCCAGGCACTTCTGTCAGGATCTGATTAGAAGAGCTAATAGGAGCAGAGGATCCCTTCGGAGGCGGGGATTTGTATATGGTCCTTCCTGTTTCACTGGGGACCCTGGTGTCGGGCTTGGCAGATGAGGGTGGTGGCAAATAGTCATAACTGGGCCTGATGAGAAGGGAGCCTGACCTGTCTGGAGGGGGTGGGGGGGAAGGTGATTTCACCCCTGCCTCTGGCCCAGGGTCACAGTGTTTGTCCCTTCTCGGAGGTCCTCCATTGTTCCCTGGCTCATTGAGGGGCCTTGGCAGAAACTGTGATGCTGGAATCTGACTCTTGGAGCACTGGACCCAATCCTTCCTGCTGGACATTTTGGAGCCGTGAGGAAGTTGGCCGGGGTGTTTTGGAATGTGTGAATCTGGCTGCAAATCAAAAAGGGGTGCTGGGCCCTCAGTCTTCTTAAACCGTGAGAGCTTCCCAGGAGCTAAGGCTGGTGATTTTTCAAGAGACACTGGGCCAGATGAGGGGATTCTTGCGGAGGGTTCAGGCTCTATTATTTTTGATTTCTGAGGTGAAGACTTGCCTCTGGCAGGGGTTTTTGTCAGACTTTGCTTTTGATAGATACCCATGGACACCGAAGACCTAGAATTACTCTGACATGACACAGTGAGCATTGGTTTGGCCGGTCTTGGTCGCTGAATATTTTGTGTGACTGTCCTGGAGCTGAAAGAGCCAGTGGGTGCTGCAGTAACATTATCTGCGTCATCTTTTGGAATGTTTTTCTCGGTTTCCTCTTCAGGTTTCTTCAAGAAAGTGTAGTCTCTTGCTGCAGCTCCTGGCTGTAAATGAGCCATTCCCTGAGGTAAAATTTCAGTGTGTTCTGCCTTGGGCCCAGTAGGGGCCGGACTGATGGAAATTTCATTTCTGGTAACAGTGACAAAGCCAGTCTGGTGAGAGCTGAATTCAATGGGCTCGCCGTCTTCTGCATCAAATATGACGGTAATGCATTCTTCTGAAGAAGTCCTTTTTACAACCCTTTGCTGCTTAATGAAGCTAAATGTCTTTGGTCTACTCTCTAAGGGGATGGGCACTTGTGTTTCCTCCTCATCAGGAGACCCCAGGTGAGATTTTCCAAATCCCATGAGGATGTCCAGATTCTCCATGGATTTGTCAGTGTCGGCAGTCAGTGACAAGTCTGAATGGCTTTTCTCGTCACTGCTACCGATGTGCAACTCATCAAAGGCTTCATTGTCATCGGTGTCTGAAAGCTGCAGCCTGAGAGCCACACGGCCCTGGCCGCGTGGCTCCCTCTCTCTCTGCGCCTGAGGTGCCTGCGCACTTGGGCACAGCATCCTCTCCAAGGGGCAGTTGCTGGCACAACTGGTCCGCTTCTCAGGCCTTTCCCTGGGGTAAACTGAGGATGTGCCTTCTGAAAAGTGTTTTCTGTTCAGCTCCCAGCTAAATAGGCTGTCAGAAACACTGTGGGTTAATTGACGACTGTGCAGCCTGCAGCCGTGGTTTGGGACTGTGTGGAGCAAGGCTAAGGAGGAAGAATCATTATCAGCATCATCGTGGGAATCTGTGTCATAAACAAACGTCTCATGGGGCTCCTTACTGGGGCTCCTCATATCAGCTGGTTTGCAGGGTGGATACCCCTTGAGGCTGCTACTCTTAATTCCTGGAGAATATATTCCTTCATTTGAGTTCATGCAATCTTTATAACCCCATTTGGTTATCACTGATGGGGGTTCAAGTAACACCTTTCGCTTCTGTAGCTTTCTTAGTCCTTCCAAAATGTCACTTTCCTTAATACGAGTTGGAGGTAGTTCATCTGTAGGACTAGCAAAGCCACTTGGGAGCGAAGAGTCAATACTTAGCCTTTTATCCCAGTTTTGTGATGATTTCTAGGAAAGAAAAGTAGAGGTCAGACATCACTGAATCATGTGGATCACAGCTATGAAAAGGAAAAGTCTGTGATTAGACTTGATTATGGAGGTTTAGTATTCCTCTATAAATACATACTTTAATTAATTAATGCTAATAATCATTAACTATGTGGCAAGTCTATGCTTTGCCAGATTCTGAGCTAAGTAGCCCATGATATAAAGAAGTAGTAGATAAGGAACCTGCCCTCAAGGAGCGTGCAAGCCAGCAGAGCAGAGGACACTTGGCACAAATAACCAGACGTCAAGGGAGCAAATGAGAAGTACAAATCTAGTAGGAACTCCAGAAATTCAGAGAGATCAAACCTCTGTATGGAAAAGCCATGAGAGGCATATACGGAGGTGTGTGTGTGTGTGTGTGTGTGTGTGTGTGTTTGTGTGTGTTTCAAACCTCCCTAACCCTTGAAGGAAGGATGAGTTTGCCTTAGCTAAAACCTGGGGGCAATGATCTTTAGGTAGAAGAAGTGGGATGCCAAGGACCTAAATGGTGAAGATACGTTGACGGTACACTTAGGAAATAATCAGAAGATGATATCTCCTCATTGTACAGTGTTTACAAGAGGTAGAGCGCGTAAATGGAAAAGCAAGTTGTTTCCTATATATATGGTCCCTTCCATTCTAAAACTTGATGATAGTTCTGGGTCTTCATGACTTTATCTGATAGAAGGGGAACATCTGTGAAACACAGACATACATCTACCAGGGGGATGTTGGTTGCTAGAACCCTATAGTAATGATTTGCTTACTATGAAAGGTCAATTTTCTGTTCCTCATACCATCCCAAATACTAGTGCTGATTCTGACCAAGAATGACACAGAGAAAGCATTCTGTCCCACACAGAACTTCATATTTCTCATAGTATTGCTAACCAGAAGTGGAAGGGCAGAAGGAGAGAAGTGGCATTACTGACCACCTGCTGTGTAACAACCAGTGGAACAGGGCTTTGATTCAATATTCAGAACAACACCATGAGGGAGACATTATCACCTCTTTTTTACTAGGGAGGAAACTGAGAGACAGCATGGTTAGTCTGTTGGAGATTGCACAGTTAAGGGAGAGCTGGGACAAAGGTTTCAGCTCCCATTTCACGGGCTCTTTCTGGGACTCGGTTCCAAAGTGGCGCTATGGAGATTTGAACCCAGGCAGGCTGGCTCTCCAGCCTGCATACCTATTGGCGATGCTATGCGCCTGGAGCCGACTGTCTGTTCTCTCCTCTATATTGGTCAATGTCATAATAGAGCTCATAGGTAATCAGAGACAATCCTCACACCCCTTGTACCTCTCTCTTGAATGGAACCTGCAGAGTTGAATCATATACCAAGACTCAGGGAAATTGGTGGGATTTGGGCACTAACCTCAGCCTTTTTTTTTTTTTTTTTTCTTTTTAAGTTATATGATTAAAGGTGAAGAGCTTCTGTGAGTGAATTTGGTGGTTTCAGATATGTGCTCTGTGCCTGCCTTGGTTAATAGCGCACCTTCTATTGGCTTCTCCACACCAGCTGCCCCGCCTATAACTGACCACAAACCATGTGCAGAGGTTGAAAAAGTGTCAGAAACTTCACATTGGAGCCTTGGCTTTTTAGTAGGCTGTGAACATTTGCTTATATCTAAGACATTTCCATTAAAATTACTCTTGCTATCTATAACATATGGTGCTTATTTGTTTTTATCTGTTATCTGTTTATTGCTTTTAAGTCAAATTATATACTTTCTTTAGAAAATTCTCTGGAGTCAGAAGTTGCTGTGGATAGATGCTATTTGGTAATGCCTCCTCTTTCCTCTTCTTTTCCTCTCTGCCAATAAAAAGCCTTTGGAAATCAGGAGAAATCCCATCTGTGAGTTTGAGTATTATAAACCAATCGGTAAGCAGGCTGCCATCGCTTGGGTTTTTAAGAACCTCCATGATTCTGATAGTCACGTTCACAATAAGAAGAGAAGCCAGGCAAAAGCACCCCGCAAGAGCTTGCAAAAGGCAGATTTGTTCAACCCATAGAAGATGTGCTCAGCCCAGCTCCCTCTGCCTCTTTAAAAAAAATTTTTTTTAATGTTTTATTTCTAGGAGAGGGAGAGAGAGAGACAGTGTGAGCAGGGGAGGGTCAGAGACAGAGGGAGCCACAGACTGAAACAGGCTCCAGACTCTGAGCTGGCAGTCAGCACAGAGCCCGACGTGGGGCTCGAACCCACGAACCACGAGATCATGACCTAAGCGAAAGTCGGACACCCAACCGACTAAGCCACCCAGGCGCCCCTCCCTCTGCCTCTTTAAAGCCTGGCTCCCTGAGGTCTGATTCACCCCAGGACCAGCAACTGTAAACCTCCCAGGGCCCAGCTCTCTATCCTGTGAGATTAGCCACATTCCTCAATCGGTTTCCACAGGACATTACGATATTTGGTAACTTGAGAAAAGTTTGGAACAATCTGGAAACCTGGAAAAAAAAAAAAAAGCATGACTCTCTTGTAGGAAAGATGCAGGAAGGAGCTGGCATTTCCAAGGGCAGCTTCATGCTCTGCTTGGAAAAGAGCTGCTCTGGGAGGCAGGGCAATTGGCTGAAGGATGCTGCTAATAAAGTAGGGGCCTCGGTTCAATGTCCATAGTCTTTTTCTTTGTCTTGACTAGACAACAGTTTTACACAACTTTTTTTTTTTTTTTTAAAGAACATTCTTGGTCTTAATATAACAAAACCATCCCAATAATTGGAATATTATTTCAAGTTTGGCTGATTCAACAGGGCTACTCCAGCAGAATGGTAAAGAGTGAAAGTTCTGGAACCAACTAGCCAGCTCTGCAACTTACTGGCTAGGAGACCTTTGGCTCGTTACTTGATTTCTCAGCAGCCCAAGTGCCCCATCAGTACAATGGAAGAATAGGAAAACCTACTTAAATAGGCACTTATGAGCACTGAATGAGCTAATACTTGTGAAATACTAACAGACCTGGGTGGCACATGGTGATTACTCATGACTTAGATCCAGATTCCTCCATGCAGGGCAGCCTAATGGATCCCTTATAGGCATCCTTTCTGTTTCTATACAAAATAATATTAAACAAATACTTGTGAATTATAAAAGAGCCATTGATCAGAAATATTATTATGCAAGTTAATATTGTAGTCATGTGAAAATTCATAATATATGAGTTTATTATGTAAGTTAATACTAAATGAGTACTTGGTACATGGTAAGAACTGTAGAAGTTTCTTAAATAATAATATTAACATGTCTTTATGGGCTGGGTCTAGTTTTCTGGTCCTTGAGAACTGGGACTATGTGAGATGTGACAGGTGTGCTGGTACTCCAATCCATTCTGAGACAGGACCTTATGAAATCCCCAGATCATGGCCACCTGACTGTGTACAAAAAGCAGAAGAAGCTAATTTCTCCTTACTCAGGGAAGAGGTTTCCCTACAAGATCAAGGACTGCTCGAATTGGAAGAATTTCAGGGGAAAAAAAATGAAAAGAAAGAAAGGGGAGACAAAGGAAGAAAAGACAAAGGCTCTGAGGGGGAGAGGGTGGGAAAAGGGGAGTGAAGAGAACAGAGCCAGGGCTCTGAAGCCAGTGAAACCACAAAGAGAGGGAACATTCCTGACCATCTTCCCAATCTGTGAAGAGCCAGGCCCCAGCAGCCATTATTCAGAACTTCGAACATCTGAATGGAAGTTCTCGGAAGGAAGGAAGAACTCTGATAATGTACACACTCTGTGTTAGGAGTCTGAGTCCGAGGGAACAAGGTCTAAATTCAAGCTTGAAATCTTTTTTTCTGAGTACGTGTTCCATGTATGACAAAGCTACTCCCTTTATTATATTCTGGCAGCTAGGGAGCCCTCCCGGTTACTATGCTTCCAAATCATAAATGGGAGTTGACACAAGTGATAGAAGAATGACCTCCGCATCTCCTGATTCAGGATTTCCACTCGTGTGTACTCTCTGCTTGTCTTCAACATGCGGAAATGGCAAGAGGAGCTATTCCAAACCCTTGGCTCACGCAGCGGGCACAGAGGCGTGTTTGCTTGTGAGGGCCCACCTCGCAGACGGGAGGCAAACAGCATCAGGAGTTACCTAACAACCTGGTGAGAGAACTCCCAGCATCTAAGGCAGCACATGCCTGCCTCCATGCCATCTACCACGGTAGTTTCTCTCTCAGCCATGCTACCCTCCAATTTATAGTCAATTAGTGCTTTATGAGGCTATAAAACTGAGTAAAGGAGGTCAATATAATACATGCCATGCTTGAGTAGTAAATTCCTACAAAGCTAATGATACTTTAAAAACTTTCAGCCATTTGTTCTGAGATGATGTGCCACCCTCCCTATCATCTGGGAAGAAAACAACATTCCCTTTGAGTTCTCAAGGGATGCTGAGTCTGGGATGGCTTGGCCAGCGGCCTTGCTCACTCTCATTTGCAGTGGGCATTAGCAAGTCTTTCTGAGCATTGCAGCGATAGAGAGTGTCCATAAAACTAATTGGAAACATCTGAGTTGGCCTGAAACATGGTCACTTTCATTAGGCCAAGGCTCTGGGTTCCAATTTGATATAAATCTATGGTCTTGGTAGGCTTCTGTGAAGCCCAGAAGGAAACTGTCTTCTTCCTCCAAATTCCCTCCCATGGTGTCCAAGTCATTTGTGTCACATCATCCTTCCACCCCTCACTTGCTGTGGGACTTCTGGCAAGTAACAATGTTTCTGAGCCAGATTCCTCTCCCATATAATGGAGGAAATGAGATCTCCCCAAACAGTTTTGTGAGGCTTAAAGGCACAGGCACTCAGCAAACGGTCATTTGCTTCCCACCATCCACCTTCCTACCAGAAGAGGATCCTTTTCTGGCTCACTCTGATGCTAAATGGTTTCAAAAGGAGGCCTTACCCTTTTCCTGAGGTTCTTTCCATCATGCCATGTGTGGGAGGAGCCGCTGGAGTTCTCGCTGCAGGTGCTCGAAAGAGACAATTCGCTGCTGCTGCAGCTGTTTCGGGGACAGAGATGACCAGGGATGACGATCCCAAAACCAGGGCATTTCAAAGCAGGGGCTCCTGATTTTGCATTCAGCTGGCATTCCTAAAAAAAAAAAACAGGACAGTTCTGAGCCAGGGATCTGCTTAGGGGACAGGAATACCAACTTGACAGCATAGTGAGATAGAAGGGAATGTAGCCTAGTGGTTAGAAGCACAGATTTTTGGGGTCAGACAGGCTAGTGGTTCAAATCTTGGCTCTGCCTCTTGCTAATAGCCTAGGAGGAGTTATTTAATCCCTTAGAGCTACATTTTTTCTTAAGGTGAATAATGATAATACTGCCTACCTTATAGAGTTATCACAAAGTCCAAATGGAGTTCTAGATTAGAAGCATATTACACAGTACCTGGCCTAAGTAGGTACTTGATTATGATGACCTGCATTACCAGTAGCCAGAACTATCCAATGGTAGTTTCCCACTGTCTCCAGGCAGACTGGTCAAGTAATCAGTTCCATATCAAGCCACAACCAATGGCACAAAAGAATGAAGACAAGAGTAGCAATTCTGGCTGTAGGGTTCAAGAGCATGAGCACTAGACCGAGAGTTTAGTGACCTGGATCTCAGGCTGCATGTTGCCCCTGGCAGGAGATACTGAGTACAGAAAGCATTCAACTTCCATGTGCCTCAAGGTCTTCCTTTGTTGGCAGGGGCAGTTCTACCAGACTGCTCCCCTGAGCCCCCTATACAGTATCAGTCTAAGTCAGGAATCAAATGTCTAGGAAGCCATGTCTAGTGGCACACCAAACTGAGGAATCAGGAGGTACTGTTGGAAAGGTTATCTTTCCATATCAGTTGGCTGTCCAAATGGTAAAGATTGCCACATCAACTAGATCTGGGCTCCACACCGAAGACTTGGGTAGGGGCATAGGTGACAAAGTTGTAAACATTGAAGCACATCCCGACAGCCATGTTCTTGGCCCTGCATGTAACAGATGAAGCGCATGAGCTGGACAAGCTAAATTAATTTGGCATCCTGCTCACGAGAGCAAAGTCTCTCCATTAGTCTCATTCCACCCTCCTATCTATATAAAGCTTTGTCTCAGAAGCTCTTTGATGGGGAGCCATCTGTCTTTGTGTCATTCGCAGAATGGCCAAGCCTCTTACTTATGCAATTTATTGACACTTTATGGTTGCCTTTATTACCTGAGTACTTATCACTGTTCTCCAAATGCAATTCCAGCTGACGGTGACTAAACCCCCACTTGAGGAAGGAAAGGCATGCTGTTCTGGGACTACTTGGGGTACATGTTAACCCCTCGCATAAGTACAAAGGGCATATTTAATTTCCTCTCTAATCAATATCCATAATGCTTAATAAGGTTAGATTTTCAACATCAGGCATTTGTCTGCTATCAATACTTCATTTTTGCTGCATAACAATCTCCTTAAGTGATCTAAATATGCCAGGAAATTTTACTATTTTATCCCCTACCCCTGAAATTTGGCTCTAAAGAGCACTGAATGGAGAAACTTGTCTCAAGATTCAGCATTCAGCAATATCTGTTGATTTATGACCTTGTTATTGCTGCATGTAACTTGCTTAAGGAGAGTTTATTATTTGTAACTTGACAGATGCCTACAACAAGTAGCACTACTGCACAGGAGTGCCTGATGTCGCCACGGAGTACATTTAGAACAAACTTTCAGAAGTAACATATTATGCTCCCCTTCTACTTGTGTGCCTCCCTATTTTCACCATCCCCAAGTCTCTTTCATATTTGGCTGCCTGAGTAACCAGGGCGATAGTTTTATTTAGGACTGCCTCTGCTCTGGCAGATCGGTCTGCTCTCCAGAGAGAGGCTGTGCCTGTGTCCTGCGAGACCATTTAGACCTATTTGTTTTCTTTTTTCTTTAATGTTCATTTATTTATTTTGAGAGAGAGAGCTGGGGAGAGGGACAGAGGGAGGAAGAGAGAGAATCCCAAGTAGGCTCCACACTGACACTGCCAAGCCCAGTGTGGGGCTTGAACTCAGGAACCATGATATCATGACTAGACCCCAAATCAAGAGTTGGAGACTCTGAGCTACCCAGGCACCTACAGATATAAATTTTTCTAATGGCCCTTTTCACAACTCTGAATGGCTTTTGGTTACTGTTTCTACTCCTCCTTTTCTAGAAGTTCTGAAGCTTCCATGATTTCCCTCTGTCTTTCCCACCTGTTCCTTCCCACTACCCCTGTCAAAACGATATCTATTTTTACGGCTCAACTCCATTCCCAGGACTCTTCTTACAAATGAGCATTCTTGCCCAGTAGTTTCCCATGTGCGTGCCTCCTGTTCAGATGCTGGGTTAAGATGACAAGAAACTTAACCTCAGAGCTACCAAAGGAAGGAAATGCTGCTTCTGCCTTTGACCATGAACTTGAGATGAGCAGATGTGATGGAGCATACTTCAGGGAGGTGGGGAAGACCTATCACTGTCATGTGGAGGCAGGTGGGGGTGGGGGTGGTTAAACAGAGAAGTGACTTCCAAGCCAGGCTTCTCATATCTCAGTCTGCACATGTATCATCTGGGATCTTGTTAAACACAGATTCTGAGTAATTCTCAGTAATTCTGAGAAGGAATCTGAGATGTAGTATTTTTGACATGTTTCCGGGTGCTTCTATGCTGCTGTCCTAGGACTTTGAGAAGAAGGTCCCTAGTGGAAGGTATGAGAGGTCTACTTCTGATGTGGGTTACTTAGTAGCAAGTGGTGTGACCACATGGCCTGACCTCATTTTGTGGAGCAGGATGAAGGGAATGGTCTGAGCCTACCCACGGGCCAGTGCACTGGGGAGAGAGTGTGTGTGCATGTGTGTGAGCACGCACACTCACGTGTGCATATGTGTTGGGGCAATTGCAAGGTAATTCCTTACACAGAAAAGGGCCAGTCCTTTGTATTGGACATTCTCCCATATTTTCCGCACACTATACAATCAATATTTGAAGTTAATAAGGGTCCCAGAATCTCTTACATCATGGCTACAATGCAAGCTCCTTTTTCCTGAAGTTTCCTTCATCAACACATGATTATTGAGCAGGATTATCTACTTCGGTGAATAACTAGCTGTTCTGTGGTTGAGTGCTTGAACCCTAAGGCTGTTAATTAGGTTTGAACACTGACTCTTGCCAACTCCTTGACCTCGAGAAAGTTACTTAACCCGTGCATGCCTCAGTTTCTTTATTTGTGAATGGAGATGAGGAAAGTCCCTACCACACAAGATCAGTGTGAAACCTGGACAGCCTCTGGCATACAGCAATGCTTAGTAACATTTGGGTGTTGCTTCCATTATTATTATTATTTTTATGTACATGTGTATTGACTCTCAAACTAAATCACAAAATTACAATCTCCCTAAGAGACCTTATGTTATACCTGTGCTGACAGTATTGTCTGACACCTCATACACAGGAACCGGACTGAGCAATAGCCAAAAGTGTGGATGCCCTTTGTTTCTGGAAATTAATGATATGAGCTTCTGGAGAGATCTGCTAGCAGATACCACTCTCTGTTATTATTCTCCATCTTTGCCACGGTGTTCTGTGGCTGCGCCATAGTGTCGATTATGAAGAAGAACAGTAAAGTGCTAAACAGCAGAAATCTTATTATTGCCCCGGTACAGTGGGCAGGTGTTGTGGTACACACGTTTTATGTACCGTAGGATTTCATCCTCGCCATGATTCTCAGAGATAGAAAGGAAATATCAGTATGCTCATTTTTCATATGGGGAGCTTGAGGCATGGTGGCATTGCTCTCTTACATAAGGTCACCAAGCTAGTACAACATCCTGAGGTCAGGCCCACATCCTAGCCACTATGCTATGGTGACAAGTAAGGCCCTTGTCAATCAGCAGAACTCCTGAACATATACAGACCACCAAGCACCCAACTGGGAAGAGTTCTTTTTTTTTTTTTTTTAATGAACTTGTTTCTTTTTTTTTAAATATAATTTATTATTAAACTGGCTTCCATACAACACCCAGTGCTCATCCCAACAAGTGCCCTTTTCAATGCCCATCAGCCACTTTCTCCTCTCTCCCCCACCTCCCATCAATCCTCAATTTGCTCTCTGTACTTGAGAGTCTCTTATGGTTTGGCTCCCTCCCTCTCTGTTTGTATCCCCCCCCCCCCCTCTTTCCCTTTCCTGATGGTCTTCTGTTAAATTTCTCAAGATCCACATATGAATGAACGTGAATGGAACTGGAGGTTATTATGCTAAGTGAAACAAGTCAGTCAGGGAAGAGTTCTAATTAGTAATAGATAATGATTATTATTAAAATGATTCTTTGCCGGAATAATGTATAGTGGTTTCCATTGTAACATTATCTTAATTATGTTGACTTCGTTGGCAAAATACACCCCCTTTGCACTACTCGAAATGTTTTTTTCTCATTGTGTATTTTAGATTACTACCTTGGTTGACTCACGCTTTAACATCCTTATTGTGAGAAATGCAATACAAAATCTGAAATTTGAAAAAAAAAAAAGGAGAGAGAGAGAGAATGAAGGCAAGAGTTCCTTGGATAAAAACTGCACACTTAAAAAATTCCTGACCTTAAGGCTTTCTTATAGATTGGAAGGCATTAAGGTCTTCATGAATGTTTAAAGTGACAGCATTCCGCTGAAATTTAATTCCAATCTAAATCAAGAATATTTACCTTTGATATAGAATATCCTATCTGCATTGATAAAATTATACAGCAAAATCAAAAGCCAATTATCCACAAATGTTCATCTGTCATTGTTTTAAGCCTAACATTTTTCATTACATATTTATTTGGCTCTTGTATTTTTCAAGTTACTTTCTTTATGTCAATGAGAGTTAAAAGCCATGCTGGTTAAAGTTTTGCCAAATAAGCACAAAGCTAACCCTAAAGAAAAAAATGTACAGCCCATGAATTTTTAAAAGTTCATACATAATATATCATAAAAGTAGGATGAATAATATAGGACATGGGCTTTAATAAAAAGCTCCTTGACCATTTCTCAGCGACTTTGAGATGTAATCAATACCCAAAAAGGTATCTTGGGGACAAAGGCAAGATTTATGATATTTTTGCTGAGAGTGACACTTTCTGCTTACTCTGTCAGCTGGGGGACATGATACTGAATTTCAGAGAATACAAGAAAGGAAGGTATTTTTATCTGGCTGACAATGCTTCAGGGATGCGCTTTATGGTTCACCTGTGACATCATATTTGATGGAAGGAAAATAACCTGAACAAGCGTTCTGAAGGCAAGAGGGAAACTCACATGCATCTCAACATCAGTTCGTGACTGCGTCAGACTTCCGCTTCTTCCCACATCTGAGAGCAAATCTCCGGATGAAAGATCTAAGATGCGTGAGTGAAGTTTCTAGGGAGAAACAAGCAGAAATGTTGCACAGTGGTGATTTAATTGTTTGCTTCCAAATCCTGCCTTGGCCAGTTGAATCTCAAAGGAGTTGATATTTCTAGATTAGATAATATGTGTCCTAACCCAAAAAAGTTTACTCTAGTTTATGAGCAAGCCATATGCATATATGTGCAAACTACAGCTTATAAATAGTAATCACACTCTCACTGTCTGTTCGTCTGGGCAGGAAAGGATTAGTAGGAAAAAAATAAGTGAGAGGAAAAATGTGAGTCATCCAGTACATTTACTGGCTAGTGTGAAAAATAACTTTCGATATTCGCATAAGAAAACAATCACCATGTTAACCTTACTATGTTGAATAGTGGTTAAAATCTGAGCAAATAATTATAAAAGTGACCATATTTCTAAACAGCATTGATCTTGTAAAATCTTCCCTTGGATACATTTTAACTCAAAGTCATTAATGTCATCTGTTAGGAACAATTAATGTGAATAGAAAATAATTGCATCTGGGAGCTGGGGACTTGGAGGATTTTGCGCATTAATATTCACATGCTATTTGATTATATACTCAATTCTTTATTTCAGCTTTGCTTGGGAGGCCTGCTAAACCAGGGACATTTCACTATATTAATCTTTATACTAATTACTAAGGCTTTTCTGTGGACATTAAATTTGATCTGTTTAATTGCAAATACAATAAAACTCGTGATTTATGTCCAATGTTTCTGCAAGGCTGATGACATTTTAAAATGGTACTTGTAGCCTGGTTTGTCTTGGTTACAACTTTTGTGACTTTAGACACTAAAAAATCGAATTGAGTAAGTAAATAATGTGGCCAGGCGTGCCTCCCTCCCCTCTGAAAAGTTTTTCAATTCCTCTTCCTCCCTGGAAGGGCCTTGCTGCATGCTGATGTCGATCCAGGAAATGTCCGGGCTTCTCTGTTGCTCATTAGTGTTAGGATCAGCTTAGAGTACAGGGGTGGCCCCGCCGGTCACTCTGTTCTTGCATATGTGCGCTTGTCAGTGGTGACAGGAGACCCTACTAAAATGAGGCACATTCGCTACATTTTCATTTGATTCCCCTCGGACTGAACGTGCGTGAGAGCCCCTATGTGTGTGATTACTTGGCCACTGAACAAACATGTTTTAAGCACCTGCTGGAGGAGGAGCACTGGGGTAGGACTGCGCTGCATCCCTCGGCAGGAGGGCATATTTTCTACAGCGGACCATCACTCTCTTCCTAGTGAAGCTCTAAATCACTATTTGCTTCAAATTTTTTAAAAAATAAGTTTTTAAAAAATGCTTACTTATTTTTTTTTGAGAGAGAGAGCGCAAGCGCAAGCAGGGGAAGGGCAGAGAGAGAAGGAGACACAGAATCCAAAGCAGGCTTCAGGCTCTGAGCTGTCAGCACAGAGCCCGATGTGGGGCTTGAACTCACAAACCGTGAAATCTTGACTTGAGACAAAGTCAGATGCTTAACTGACTGAGCTGCCCAGGTGCCCCCACTGTTTGCTTTAGACCAATACTTGTGCTTTCCTTAGTCTGTGTTTGTGAACCTCCTTTCACCAAAAAAGGGCATAAATCTTAAATTGGTTGCCTGTTATTTCGAAAATTCTAACTTTTCCAACAGAGCTAAGACATCAATAGGTAGCCAGAGTCAGGATGTTGTTTCTGTGCAAGTTTTAGATTCCTTACCTCAAGCTCCCTCTAGAAACAGAGTCTACCGGGAGAGGAGGACTGATTAAGTCAGTTAATTCCCGGGATCTGTCAGTGGGTAATAGTAAGTAGCAAGTACCCAACTGATGCTTGTTGTAATCTATAAAGAAAAAGATGTCCTTATGTTTTTTTTTTCTGCCCACCTACAGGTTTGAGAGAGTGCCAAAAGAATGATAATGTTCTGAGACATAAGGATTCATTTATCAATAGGCAAACAGTCCAAGAAGTTATAGGAAATGACATTCAAGAAAAGAAATGATGGTTTTGAGTGGTATATCATGTGATATTTGGGAAGAGTCCTTCTAGGTTCGTTATCTGACGTAATTTGGTTCATGGTTGCTCTTCACTCCTTATCGAATATATGATGTCATCCTTTGCTTTCTGCATGAATCTGTGTATGTATAAACACATCTTCTAAATGATGTTATATTTTAGCAGTTTATATCCAAATGCTCACTTCTCAGCTGAAATCAGTAACATTGTGTGGGAGAGGGGACAGGTCCCAGATCAAGGGGCCAGCTGACCTGTATTCTAGCTCCATGTACGAGTTTTACCAGATCTTGGGACTGTAACAGAATCTCTCTGTCTCAGATTCCTCTCTGGTTACCGGGGGATAGAAGTGGCTACTCTCCCTACCTCAGGGAGAGGTGTTACCAAGGTCAGGAACAATAGTAGATAGGACAGTGTGCTGACATTCACATAGTCTTACACCAATTACTGGTTAAACCTCTAGTAGATGGGAGGTAATTTCTTAAATGCTAAGGTACACATGGATTCTCTGTTGTTAGAGTTTGTAGATATATAACACAAATATAAATTGACTTGGAAAACAAAATCTATTTCTGTGTTAAGGCTGTAGGCAAGAAAATGGGAGGCAAATATCATCTTCTCACACAACTTGCCTTAGTTTTTTTTTAGTGTTTTATTTATTTCTGAGAGAGGCAGAGACAGCCTGAGCAGGGGAGGGTCAGAAAGAGAGAAAGACACAGAATCTGAAGTAGACTCCAGGCTCTGAGCTAGCTGTCAGCACAGATCCAGACTCAGGGCTCGAACCCACGAACCGGGAGATCATGACCTGAGCCGAAGTTGGATGCTTAACTGACTGAGCCACCCAGGTGCCCCGCACACAACTTGCCTTAAATAACCAAGAAAGCTCACAAGCCTGTGGATGTTACATTTCTTTGTTGTTGTTGTTACATTTCTTAGAATAAGAATTTTTATGACTTATATTTTCATATCTAACAATTCTAATGAATATATTCTCACAGACACGCACATACATGGGTAGAAGAGAATAAGCAATCGCTTTTCAAACTGGTACTACAACATTATCTGGGCTTAATAATGATCTCAGTGCAGGGCGCCTGGGTGGTTCAGTTGGTTAAGTGTCCAACATCAGCTCTGGTCATGATCTTGTGGTTCATGAGTTCAAGCCTCACGTTGGGCTCTATGCTGACAGCTTGGGTCCTGCAGCCTGCTTTGGATTCTGTGTCTCCTTCTTTTTCTGCCCCTCCCCTACTTGCATTCTCTCTCTCAAACACAAATAAATAAAGAAATACACATTTTGGGGCAAAGCAGGAAGAATGCATATATGGGGAATTCAATTAAAGTTATTGTCAGAAAAAGTACAATTGGCAGGAGAATACTGTGACCTCTTGAAAGACATCTCCCTGCTTAGTTAGAGGGAAAATTCTCAGCATATACCTATCTATAGTTCATGTTCATGGCTAGTGTCCATCTGGATAAAATCTCTCACCTGAAATAACTCAAACTCAGAATTTGTAACCTGAAAATCGGGAAGAAGCCTGGATGGAGACATGAGTCTTTAAATGTTTTAGACATGAGAGGTAGCAAGATTATTCAGGAGAGGTTGAAAATTGACCTCACCTCACCTCTTATGTTATCTCAGTAACTTAGATTCCACTTGGTGTTAGAAATAGAGACTCCCGGCCTCACACATTTCTAAACCAGAGGTCAGTGAGATCTTTTCGCTCAAAGGCTCTCTTTGATGGAAAGTGTCTACCCCTCCCTTCCTGCCAGACTGGTTTAATCGAGTCTCTCTCACTTCTGAGCTGATGCTTTTGTCTGTCTTCTCATGTCACAGGCTCCCTGCTCCTGCCCACCCACCTAAAACCTGCTCACCGCTCAGGACTGCATTAAAACCCCACCTGTAAGCTTATCTGTCATCGATAGCCATACTGGATTCCACACTCCACTGTGGAATTCCACTGGATTCCATAGCCCCATGATATGCCTGGCCCATTTTGGCCCTGAACCTGTGGGCCATGATGGTTGAACGGCTCCTGTGTGTGGGGTCTATTTTCCTAACAGGGTGATCCATTCTATGAGGATGCAGGCCAAGCCCTGTATTTCTGCTTTGTCCCTGTGGCAGGGACTGGCTAAATGTCCTGGAACAGATTCCCTCTTTTCTCTGGGCACATAGTTAGATGCCATCTCCCAGTCTCCTTTGCAGTGAGGTGTGGCCACGTGACATAGTTAGTTCTAGTCAGTGGAGTGTGAACAAAAGTGACGTTGTTCCTGGCTCAGGAATATCTTTGGTGTGCAGTGTTCTAAGCTCTTTCACTCTCCACTGGTTTGAAGCAGCCAGCTGAGCATAGCCATCTTGTAAACTATGTGTCAAAGATGGAGCCTGCAGGGAGAAGGAGTTTGAGTTCCTGAATTTCCAACTGAAAGGGTGCCACCTGGGGACAAGAGATAACTTTCTTGGGCTTTCCATGAGGAAGAAATAAATGTGCACTGGGTTGGAGCCATTATTCACTTGGGGGTTTGCTATCATGATTAATATTAGCCTGGCTGAGATAGTCCTCCTCTGAGATAAGCACTCTGTAACATATAGGATAGCCACTCCATCAGTCAGTCAACACACACAGATTCACACACACACATACATCACACACATAGTCACATGTGTATAGGGTTAGGTCAGCAAGCCAAGGTGACTTCTCACACTGAGGACTGTCAGCTCTGCAGGGAAAAGGCGTGCTTTCTGTTACTCTGGAGGGGCAGGGTGGGGACTGGTGTGATGTGCACTCCATAGTCAGAACATCCCATCATGCCAGTATAAAATACCAAGCTCAGCTCTGGGGGTGCTGGCGAGAACCACCCCAGATCAGTGGTTTTTGGTGGATGAGCCTGTCTTGGGTCTGCCCGCAGTATGTCCTCCGCATGGTTCTGAATCTGTAATTCAGGGCAGAGAAACACTCCCTTTGACAAACTGTGCCGGGGGCTGGCTGCTCTATATCTGGTGGGATGAGGGTAGAG